GCCCTACTTATACAAAATAAAATGCTTGGTCAAATTGGCAGATATGACTTAACTGACCTACTGTTAATGGATGTAAACACTTGTCCTGAAGTTGGTATTCCTGGTTATTTTTGATTGAGGTGCTTGGGTTTTTTATTGGATGAAAACATTTGGTTGGATCACTTTCTTGTCCCCTGCCCCAGCATGAGTAAAAGTAGAACCTTACACTAATTGTGGAAATGTATATGAAAATGTCACATAATATTTGTATTTTGTATCTATTGCAGCATCCAGTGCTAGATGAGCCCATAGCAGAAGCTGTCTGCATTATTGCAGACACAGATAAATGGAATGTACAGGTAGCTACAAGCCAGAGAAAGATGATGGACAACATGAAGCTAGGCAAGGATGTCTTGGTGTCTAATCAAGTATCCAGTTTATTGCAGTCTATTTTACAGCTTTACAAACTCAACCTCCCAGCTGACTTTGTAAGTATTTCTTCACTGAAAACTGAAGCTAATGAAGATTGGTTAGCTGAGGTATCTGCGCAGTTTTCTTATACTGGATATTTTATTGCTACACCAATAAACTGATACCTGAGACAATGTGGAGTTATACCACATAATTGAAAGAATGCCTACAGTCCATTTACAGATATTGTTTTTAACCTAATTTACATATAACAGATTAGTCAACTACTCCAGAATAGGTAAGCCGGAACTGAAGTTATTTAGGCAATTTTAGCATGGTCCTCATATGTCTATGATTAGGGTTGTTAAATTTGGCTTACATTATTTTTTGTTGTCAAATTTCCTTCCAGTTTTTCTGTTGTTGAAGCTTCTATATACCCCACCCTGTTCTTAGCATACAAATCTCTATCCTTGGGCTCTCTATCCAGCCCCATACACTGGGTGCCTCTCCTCTCTCCTCCCCAATTATGTGCACTTGTGCACATTGACCCTGCTGGCTTTTGCATATTCCAGCCATCCCTGTCCACAGGTGCTCTGTCAGCCTTGCTGATACGCTGTCCACGCAGTTGCTGGGAGCAGGCTGGAACCTGAAAACACTTGGGGTCTGGGGTGCAGCAAAGGTTGTCACTTCTGTCACAGGACTTTCTCTACAACCACACAGCATCCTTTCCTTGTCCTCACTAGTAGCGGCGCTCTTCTGAGCGCATCAGTAAAGCTTTTTCTGATTGCTGCTCTAGGGAGGAAGAGCAATCCACAAGTCTAACAGTACAAATTACGGTACAATTTTTATATACAATTGTAGCTGGAGAGGAAAGGTTTGTTAGTTTTTCTCCTCTCAGAACTCTGTCTTGTTCAGTGACTTCTTCCATAGACAGCTTTGAGAAACTTGGTTTGTAGGAAGCCTCTGTAATAATTGGGAGTTGTAGATGGAAGAGGAAAAGACAGAGCTGAACAGTAACATCTGTAAATAGTATTAGCTGGCACTGTTCTGAACAATTTTAGTGGAATCAATTATGCTAAATTCTTTAAAAGTCAAGTACCAGGCAGAATAAGTGGGTACACTAGCAAGAATCTGCAGAGATCATTTAGGGGGTTGAAAAACGTGCAGTTTTGATTGGAATTATATTACAAGGTTTGCGTGCAAACACTGACACTTCTGGTATTTCTGAGCTAAACAGAACCTCTGCAGATGAAGTGTTCTCTCCAGTGTTGTTCTGGGGTTTATGTATGCTATTTCTGCATGTTTGCATGGTGT